CTGGTCCTGTGTACCACATGCCTGGTCCACCCTGGCCAGCCCTGCTGCTTCCCACTGTGTGGCTCTGGGCGTGCCTCAGGCCCTGCAGCTATAAAATGGGCACAATAATAGTAACATTGACCATGTAGGGTCCCACGAAGCTGGAGAAGCTGCTGGGCGTGGTGCCTGATGCCAGGCTCAGACGCATGCTCAGTTCAGGTCTCTAGCTTCTCCTGGGGTGAGACGGAGAGCTGGAGCAGAGGCTCTGGGCCTGTCCTGCTCTCCTGCCTGCCTGGACCCCAGAGACTTCTGCCTTCCAGTGGTCAGCAGGCCAGCTCCCGGCTTCCGCTGCACCAAGGCAGCTGGCTGAAGCAAACACTCTTGACCAGGAGAGAGGGCCGGGGGAAGAGCGGCCTGGACACAGCAGTTCCTGCTCGAGTTCCTGGGTCACAGGTGGTTTGGGGACCATAGCATCTTCAAAGGAAATCTGAAAAGGGAAAGGCGGGTCTTCCACCACCAGGCACAGGGAAGTCCTGCTGCCTTTGCTGACTGAGACAGACTGTGGCGCCATCTCCACTGGGCCTTTCGTTTGCCAAGGGTGGTGATGGTGGCTCATGAGTAGGCCACAGTTTTTAGGTGCATGTTATTCCTGAGGATAGGAACTATACAATTTCTCCCTTCCTGTGTGCTTAGAACGAATGCTCATCACACTGAGAGTCCTGGTTCCAGGAACTCTTGGCATATTGAATTTGAAACACCGCCTGATGGCTAAGACCGTATCCAGCTGTGCTTTCAGACAGCCCCCAGCCCTGCTGAGGGTGTTCAGTCCTGGGCAACTTAAGCCAAAGAAGTACCACCCCCCTATATTTGACCAAATTTGATGAGTAGCTATCATGATGAAAAAGAGAAAACGGCTTAGCCTTAAAGATCAAAGAGAGCCAGGCACGGTGGCTCATGCCTATAATCCCAGCATTTCAGGAGGCCAAGACATGTGGATCACTTGAGCCCAGGAGTTTGAGACCAGCCTGGGCAACATGGTGAGATCCTGTCGCTACAAAAAATATAAAAATTAGCCAGGCAAGGTGGTGCACGCCTGTGGCCCCAGCTCCTCAGGAAGCTGAGGCAGGAAAACTGCTTCAGCCCAGTTTAAGATCAGCCTGGGCAACACTGGGATACCAGGTCTCACAAAAAATAGAAATGAAAAATAGACGGGCACGGTGGCACGTGCCTGTAGTCCCAGCTACTCAGGAAGCTGAGGTGGGAGGATCGCTTGAGCCCAGGAGGTTGAGGCTGCAGCGAGCCATGACTGTGCCATTGCACTCCAGTCTGGGTGACAGAGCAACACCTTGTTTCAAAAAAAAAAAAAGACTGAAGAGAAGAAAGGAAGACTCCCTTGAATGCTTCCAGTCTGGTGATCTGCTATGCAAGAATCTAATCCAACTTGGCAAATGCATAAGAAATAATGGATTAAAGCACACAGCATTTTGTATGGGAAAATGCTGGCCCATTTCCAGTCACTCGGGCCATCTTTCCCTCCCCTTTAATTTTCTGCCAAAAGATTGTTCGGCATGTCCTAGAGAAAAGAGGTGGGAAACCTTAAACATAGTGACTGACTGATGGGTCAGTTTTAGGAAAAGTTCCCGTGAGGTTGGTTGGACACTCTGAGTGAAGAGTGTGAAGCTGGGGTCAAGGGCTGGGTTTTCTGGTCCCTGCCTCACTTCTGGCTGCCATTCCCTCCAGCCTAAGACAGCCCCTCCACAGTTCACTCCAGTCCCCTTCACTAGAGACTTCAGGAATAACTTGACTCTCCTGGCCGTGGTTTGTCCATCACAACCCTTCTCACCATCAGCCTTGCCTTGGTCATGTTTGACTCTGTCTCCAATTGCAAATGGTGAGCCCAAGGCAGGCAACATCATCTTGCTAGAAGTGGGGGTTGCTGAGGAGGAGGGTCTCGGGTGTGGGGAAGGGTCCTAGCAGTGAAAACAACTCAGGGCCTGCAGGGGGCACTCAACTGGAGACGCAGAATCAAGCCACGGAGCTTGGAAGTCGGGTGACTGGGAGGGAACTTAGTGAAAATGAAAGTCTGTGGTGAAGCTGGCCTTTCTTCTAACACTCCTGGAAGGTGGAAGTTTGCCTTTTTTTTTTTTTTCTTTTTTGAGATGGAGTCTTGCTCTGTTGCCCAGGCTGGAGTGCAGTAGCGCGATCTTGGCTCACTGGAACATCTGCCTCCCAGGTTCAAGCGATTCTCCTACCTCAGCCTCCCGAGTAGCTGGGACTACAGGCACGTGCCACCGTGGCTGGCTAGTTTTATATTTTTTGTAGGGACGAGGTTTCACCGTGTTAGCCAGGATGGTCTCAATCTCCTGACCTCATGATCTGCCTGTCTCAGCCTCTCAAAGTGCTGGGATTACAGGTGTGAGCCACTGCGCCCGGCTGGAAGTTTGCTTTCTATGGAGAGCTCAAGAGAAAGGACAGAAATGTTTCTGTGATCGATGTGAAAGTGTTACTTAGAACAGGGGTTGGCAAGCTACAGCCCCCGGGCCAAATCTGGCCTGCTGCCTGCTTCTAAGATAAAAGTCTTTCTAGAGCACAGCCATGTCCTTTCGTGTCTGTGTTGTGTGCGGCTGCCTTTGTATTACATCAGAGCTGGTCGTTGTGATAGAGGCCGTATAGCCTGCAAAGCCTCGACGAGTGTCTCTCCAGCCTTTTCAGAAAACATGTGTCCACCCCCAATTTAGAACAGCCTCTGGGCTCTGGATATCTGCCTACACCTGGGCAGAAGACCATCCACTCACAGTGAACAATTTGAGGTCAGATGTAAACACACTGTTCAGAGTCAGCGTTGCAGCCCGGCCTGCAGCATGTTTGTGATGTAGATCCCATGGCTGAGGGCCATGCAGAACAAGCTCGTGAGAACTGCTACTCCAACACCAGCATGCTGGAAAGATTCCTGGGTACTGCTTCAGATTTGGGGCTTCCCAATCAATACATATATTTTTTGAGACAGGGTCTTGCTCTGTCACTTAGGCTAGAGTGCCATGATGCATGTTGGCTCACTGCAACCTCCTTCTCCCAAGCTCAAGCGATTCTCCTGCCTCAGCCTCCCGAGTAGCTGGGATTACCACTGCATGCCACCATGCCCATCAAATTTTTTGTGTGTTTAGTAGAGACAGGGTTTCACCATGTTGGCCAGGCTGGTCTTGAACTCCTGGGCTTAAGCGATCCTCCTGCCTCAGCCTCCCAAAGTGCTGGGATTACAGGCATGAACCACTGCATTCAACCCTAATACTTTCTTTTTTTTTTTTTTTGAGACAGGGTCTCACTCTGTAGCCCAGGCTGGAGCACAGTGGCATCATGTCAGCTCACTGCAACCTCCACCTCCTGGGTTAAAGCAATTCTCCCACCTCAGCCTCCCAAGTAAATGGGATTACAGGTGTGCGCCACCATGCCCAGCTAATTTTTTTAAATTTATTTTTTATTTATTTTTTTGAGACAGAGTCTTGCTCTGTCACCCAGGCTGGACTACAATGGTGCCATCTTGGCTCACTGCAACCTCTGTCTCCTGGGTTCAAGCGATTGTCCCTGCCTCAGCCTCTCAAGTAGCTGGGATTACAGGTGCCCACTACCATGCCCAGCTAATTTTTGTATTTTTAGTAGAGACAGGGTTTCGCCATGTTGGCCAGGCTGGTCTGGAACTCCTGACCTCAGGTGATCCGCCCGCCTCGGCCTCCCAAAGTGCTGGGACTACAGGCATGGGCCACCACGCCCAGCCAATTTTTTGTATTTTTAGTAAAGACGGGGTTTTGCCATGTTGGCCAGGCTGGTCTAGAACTTCTGGCCTCAAGCAATCCTCCTGCCTTGGCCTCTCAAAGTGCTGGGATTACAGGCGTGAGCCACCACGCCCGGCCTGGCCCTAATACATTTTCAAGTGAGAGACAGATGGAGAGAGAGAGAGAGTCTGTATGTGCATATATATATATTTTAAAAGGACACAATTTCCGATTCTGGGGGACATGAAATGCGCGCCACCCCCCTTATCACCCCCAGTGAAAGTAGCTGTAATACATGCATAAAACACACGGGGCAGCTATTCAAGGACTCAGAAAGTTATCCAGTAGTAGGCAAGTTGGGGGAAAAGACTAGAATCCTAAATACCACCAAACCAGTATCTCCTGGCCTGGTCTTAAGGCAACCTGAAGGCTGAAGGTGGGCAGCAGATGGGAGAAGAGTGAGCTGGGAGGGGAGTGGGAAAGGGGCTCCTAGCACTCGGAGTGGGGGTGCCTCTGTGGGGTTTTTCTTTCCTCTGTTTTCTCACACTCCTGCCTCCAGGCAGTCCTGCGTTGGCTGTGGTGGCACGGCTGTGTCAAAGGGGCCTGCAGGTACCTGAAACACTGAAAGAGGGGACCCTTCTCCAGTCCCAAGAGAACAGGGCAAAGCCCGGTCAATCCTTCCTCTCTTGTCCTCCCACCACTTGACCCTGGTCATGGGTGCAGTCTCAGGAAGTGAGTGGCAGAGCAGGATAAATCAAACCTCAGCTTCCTGGCCAAAATACCAAAAAGAGGAGCACCGGGGAACTAGGAATTACTGGGAGATGCCAGAGAGGGGAGCTCAGGGAAGTCACTAAACACAGCATGTGATGAGATCAAAGGCTCACCCCCAAGCTGTGCGCGTGTGGGCCTGACCCTAAACGGCATTTCAGAGACACTGAGATGTGAACTGTGGCCAGCTCACTGCCAAGTCCCCAGGTGCCCCTGGGTGATACGCGCGCAGCACAGTGCTGCACGGTCAGTCACTGCACGGCACTGCAAAGGGGCTGAACACAGGACTGACACGGAAACCACACCCTGAGAAGCCTGGTTGGAACGTGCAACCTGAACCCAACTGAATCAGTCATCTCCTTAGGCCAAAAAATGACATTTGCCATAGGATTTAAACAAGACCCAGAGCCTCATAACAATATTTAAAATGTCCAGGATACAAAAGTACTTAGCGCAGGGAGAACCAGGAACATCTCTACTCACATGAGAGCAGATACAGATGTCACCACCACATAACTCAGATGTTGGAATTAGCGGATGAAGACTCAAAAGCGGCTATTACAAGAAAGTTCCAACTGGTAAACACATGGAAAGATAGAGTCTCAGCAAAGACACAGAAGGCAGAAAGAATCGACGCAATAAAAAATTCACAGGACAAGCTCAATAGTGGAATAAAAAAATAAAGGGAAGATTCAGTGACCCTGACAATAGTTCAATACAAATTATCACATCTGATTGACAGTGAGTAAAAACAACAGGGGCTGGGCGTGGTGGCTCATGGCTGTAATCTCAGCACTTTGGGAGGCCGAGGCGGGCGGATCACTTCAGGTCAGCCTGGCCAACATGATGAAATCCTGTCTCTATTAAAAATATAAAACTTAGGCCAGGCGCAGTGGCTCACGCCAGTAATCCCAGCACTTTGGGAGGTCGAGGCGGGCGGATCACGAGGTCAGGAGATCAAGACCATCCTGGCTAACACGGTGAAACCTCATCTCTACTAAAAAATACAAAAAATTAGCAGGCGATGGTGGCACAGGCCTGTGATCCCAGCTACTCAGGAGGATGAGGCAGGAGAATAGCTTGAACCTGGGAAGCGGAGGTTGCAGTGAGCTGAGATCGCGCTGTCCTCCTGAGCCCTCCCCTGCCCTCTCCACTCTCCTCGTGTCCCGGGAGGCCGGCCTCAGTGTATTGCTCACCTGGATTCCTGCCCTTTGGCTTCACTGGGTCTGGTGAAAGGACGGGAGGCGAGAGTCTGGGGTACCCCTAATTCTGTCTCCTGCTGATGCCAGTCCCTGGCGCCTCACCATCACTCGCCGATTGCCTTACCCTCCCATGCTTCTGGACTGTCCTGTCATTAAATGCTTTCCTGTGACCCCTCCGGGTGGGCTGGCTATTTCCTACGGGACCCTTGACCGATACAACGAATTCCACGCTCTTCCTTTTCCTTTGACAAAAGCAAAATCCATGTCTGCAGACTGACCTTCACGGAGCTGCCGTTTGCCTGCCTTACCTTCTCTCACGCCTCTGGTCACCTCTGGTCTTGGAGATGAACACACGCCCTTCACCCTCCCCTTTATCTTGGCACTGAAGACCCCAGCTCACTGGAGTCCTACCCGCTTGACGCAATCCTCTTCAGCCAGGCGTTCCTGAATCAGTTGGACGAGCAGCGCGCTGGGAATTGTCTGAAGGAAAAAGGACACACAGAATGATGGCCCGAACCTGCATCCTGCAGCTCGGGACACAGACCAGCACACACCCCTCGCCAACGCCCTGGCCTCAGGAAAGCTCTGGCCACCATCGGGCCCCACCCTTCCTCCACCCACTGCACCCCCTTCCTTGAACTCTCTTCTACCCCCAGCATCTCTGAGGACCTCCCTCACACGTGTACTCACCTTATCCTGTGCCCAAGCCCCAACATGCCCTCGCCCACCTCCACCTGAATAACTCCTGGGCTCCCTCAGAGCCTCAGCCCCAACTGCCAGCCTGCAGGAAGCCCTGCCAGATCCTCCCAGGCCAGGCTGGTGCTACTTTCCGTGCTCCATCGTCCTGGATGGAGAACTCTGTCACTGCACTAACCACCACACATTCTAATGGCCCGCCCGTGTGGCTGTGTCCCCAGTAAGCTGTAAAGCTCTTCGAGGAAACGGACAGTGTCCTACTGACTCTGGACCCCAGACAGTGGCAGGTGGGAGGGGATTGGCTCCAAGACCCAGCAGAGGCGAGTGTGTCCATCTCTTCCCAAGTCCAGGTCAGTGACCTCATGTTGGTAACAAAATTGGCCACGGTGGGAGTGTCTACACCACAGAAATGGCAAAGGCTAGGTACAATAAGGACTCCCCGCCCTGCCCCCAGTGCTGGTTGTTAAATGTTGACCAGCAGACCACCACCCCAGCACCAAAGGGTATCAAGGATATAGGAAGCCCTGTCGGCCATAATGAAACTTCAAATTCCTTGATTCATTCAACAAGTAGCAGTCACGACGGCTAGCGTGTGTTAAGCATATGCTATGTGCCAGGCCCTGGGCCAAGCACTCCATCCTCCGCTCTGTAACAACTCTGTGCCATCTGTACCACTGTCACCCTTTTCACAGAGGAGGAAGCTGAGCCTCAGAGAGGTGAAGCCACTTCTCTAGGGTTACACCGCCAGGGAGCAGAAGGCAGGGCTTGAACTCATGCCAGTCTACCCAGAGCCAGGCATGGGAGTGACAGACAAGCCCAGATGGGTGAGCGAGGGGAAGAGGCTGGAGGCTGCCTTCCTTCTGCCTTCTCTCTTCCGAACTTTCTGACCAGCATCCATACTCCACTTTTTATAATCAAGTCTGATCTAACTTACAAAGCCTCAAACGCCCCAGGGCCAATGCCCCTGGAAAACCCACTCCCAAGAGTCCCCTTGCCCTGGGGTCACTGAGAGCTGGGAGTTCTTCCCAGTCCCCCAAACATTCTGCCATGGGAGACTCCCAGGCCAGCCCCAAACCACACATCTCAACATCAGGGCAAAACCAGCCTCCCAGGAATGGCAAGGAGGGGCTTCTGTCTGGGGCTGGCCATAGCCCTTGGCCACAGCTGGCTGCCCAGGTGTGCAGTTGGGTTCACACAAAAGTGCCCAGCTGAGGGGGTGAGGGCAGGGGAAATCCACCTTACACTCCTTTGTCCAAGCGGGAAGGTGCTGACGTGGGGCCAGGCAGCCCAGGTGGATGAGCACCTGTTCCTAATCTCTCAGGGTCCTGGGGCTGGTGGTGACCCTGGCAACATTCCAGTGAGCTAGACAAACATCTAGATCTTTACATTTAGAACCAACGTTTGTGAGGGCTCGGGGTGACCACCAGACCCTGCCTTTGGAATGCCATGGCATCTGCCTTGACTGCTGTTGGCGCACTTAAGGGGACAGAGAGCTAGGCCATCACAGAGCCACTCCAGCAGGCTGCGTGAACCCGCTGGGGCCTGCTGACTCGCAAGGGTACTTTCCTAAGGGCTCTGTGCATGGCAGAGCGTGTCCAGGCTTTGTTCTATTATGTCCTGGTGGTGAGGTGGGGAGAATGGATAGCCCTCAACCATCTCTAACTGGTGAGGTTTGCCATTTTTCTACCCCAAATTTAATATCGTCTGTGCTCAGTGAACTGGCTTAGGTCAGCCCAAACACTGAACAACTGACAGGAAGGACCTGGAGAGACAGCAGCTGGGTGGGGCGGACAGTCCCTGCAGGGGCTCAGTTCCTACACATTCAGATGCTCTCCTGGATTCTCATGAGGCAGCCTCCTTCCTGCCTTTTCCTTGGGCTATTTGAATGGGTTCCTGACAAGAGCAGGCTGGACCTGGGCATACGAGGGTAAAGGGAGGGGATGTCCTCAGGGACCCAGGCATTCAGGGTAACTGGCTTATGGTGGGAGTGGGAGGTGGGGGGAGGGGAGACAGGCCCTGGAGGGACAGCAGGGAGGGCAGGCATGGGATCCTGATTGGAGGAAGTTAATGACGGCTTCAAGAGGAGAACCGGGTGGAAGTGGGGGGAATCTGGCCCCAGGGAGGTCCTTTGGGGACTCAGCTGCCTGTGGTCTGCACCCTGGCTGCCCGCTGAGTGACCTGGATGAGTGGCTTTAATGCTCTAAGCCTCAGTTTCCTCATTTGTAAATGGGCCAAAGATAACATGTTTCAAAGAGTTTCTGTAGCAGTTAAATGAAATGATACATGTGACAAGCGTGGGGCGTTGCTGGCCCTCAGCAAGGGCTCAGCACTGTGGCAATCACTGCCCCCTGAGCACCCTCGATGTCCATCTCTTCCCAAGTCCATGGTCAGTGACCTCATGTTGGTAACAAAATTGGCCACAGTGGGAGTGTTGACACCATAGAAATGGCAGAGGCTACAATAAGGACTCCCCACCCTGCCCCCAGTGCTGGTTGTTAAATATTGACCAGCAGGCCACTGCCCCGGCACCAAATGGTGTTAAGGATATAGGAAGCCCTGCTGACTGATGAACTAATGAAACTTAATTCATTCAACAAGTAGCAATCACAAATCACGTCAGCTAGTGCTTGTTGAGAACATGCTAGTGCCAGGCACTGGGCCAAGCATTCCATTCTTCGCTTTGTGTAACAACTCTGTGCCATCTACACTCCACTTACAGTAACACAGGCTCCCAAAGAGGAGTCCCAAAGAGGAGTCACCGTCTTGCCCTACTGCCTGTATGGTCTGAGTGTGCTCAAGTCCATCCTCAGATCCAGAGGGGGGCCCTGACTGGCCCAAGCCAATCCGCATACCCCACTCCTGGCCACTGTGATTGATTTAGTATTAGCCCTTTTCATAAAGGAGGAAGCTGAGCCTCGCAGAGGTGAAGCTGCTTCCCCAGGGTGCTCTGCACACTCTCTTCTCCACAGAGGACTGGGGAGGAAGCAGCTCTTCTCAGGGCAGTCGCTGAGGCCTGGCCTGTGGCTTTCCTTGTAGTGCACACCAGGGGCTAAAAATCTCCTCTACGCCCACCCACATTCCTGAAAAAGGACATGGGAAGTAGAAATACATTCCAATCAGGAAGGTTCCTTGCTGGGGGCGGGGGCTTCCTGGTGCAGCCTTTCTAATGCAGAGCAGAGACTCAGCCTTGGCATCAGGGCTCACCTCCCACCTCTGCCCAGGGCAGGCTCTCTGCTCCTGGCGGCTGCGATCCAGCCAGTTGGGCGGCTCTGGGCAAAGCCTCGACCTCTTTAGGCCTCACACACCTAACCAGTAGAAATCAGAAATGAGACTGCAAATGTGGCTTTTACTTTAATTTTCCATACACTCCACTTACAGTAACATGGGCTCCGAAAGTTCCTTTGAGGAGTCGCCCTCCTGCTCTTCTGCCTGTATGGTCTGGGTGTGCTCAAGTCCATCCTCAGATCCAGAGGAGGGCCCTGACTGGCCCAAGCCAATCCGCATACTCCACTCCTGGCCACTATGATTGACTCAGAGGCTGCCTGGGACCCAGTCCCAGCCAATGAAAGTCAGGCCCAGGACATCAGTGCAATCATTAGGGGCATGAACCCCTGCTTTCCACCAGATCAGAAGCTGAGAAAACGTAAGAGCAGGAGCTGCAGCAGCCACTTCACGGGCATGATGGGTGTGGAATGGAATGAAATCAGCACAAAGGGAAAGAGAGAAGCCAGACCCAGCCGCAGATTGGCTTTTCCAGGGATGGGGAATGGGAAGAAAAAAAGGGCAGATAGTGAGAGAATGAGGGAGGGGCACCTCTGCTGGGAACTGGATGAATGTGTTCGCTTGAAAGTTATGGGGCCACCATGTTTCTACGAGGTAGACAGCCAAAGTCAAGACCGAGAGCAAGAGGGAGACACAGAATGAATGGATGGTGCACAGAGGAAAAAGGAAACCACAGAGGCAAGAAGGAGGCGAGCCAGCATCCAGTCCCTGGCTCCAACATCTGCTGACACAGCCCTGTGTCCTTATCCTATCGCCCCCTACACCCACCCTTCTTCCCTAAGCCAGTGGTTCTCAACTTGATTGTGCAACAGAATGCTGGCAAAGCTTCTGGAAACACAAATTGCTGGGCCCCACCCCGGGAGCTCTGATTCGGTAGCTCTGGGATAGAGCTGAGAATGTGCATTTGTAGCACGTTTTCAAGTGACACGGATGCTGCTGGTCAGGGCATCACACCCGGAGAACCACTGGCACAAGCCCACCCACACGGGCCCTGGGGTCTGGGGAAAGCTGCTAGAGAGGGAGGGTGTCCTTCCGCCAGTGCCCGTTTCCCCCAGGTCTCCAGGGGAGCTTCCCCAGGCTGGCAAGGGAGGTGGTGGGCAGGAAGCAGCACTGTCCCTTCCCTCTGCATCTCCCCTCCGTCTCATCCTCTCCCCTCCCATCCCCTTTCATCCTTTCCCAGCCCCTCAGGTCCTCTCCCAACCCCAGACACAGCCAGTATCCATCCTGGGGCTGTTTTTCCCAGATTCCTCTGCCCTCCCTGACAACACCCATGCAGGAGGCAGTGTTCAAACAGGTACAGGAAGCAGAGGAGGGTGCCAACCAGGACACAGGGGGTGCCAGCCAGTCAAAGAGCACCGGCTGAAAGGCAGCCAGCCCCGGTGGGGCACAGCGCCCCCTGCAGCCTGCCCAGCAGGGGATAGGCCGGTGGGTTTGAGCGCAGCTACTCCTGAGCGCCCCCCGCCGCTCCCCGCCACTGTGCTGTCTCCACACCAGCTTTGATG